ACCAGTCCTTCATCACCTTAAACGAAATTGGGTGAATACATCTCATACTACTGATTTACTGGTAGTCACGTAAACAATAATTAATTCGTAAAATAAAATACATTCTCAATATGAGATGTATTCAACCAATTTCGTTTAAGGATGAGAACAACTTTTGGGAAAGTAAGGCTATGTGATATTAAATGGAAACGTCAGCTCAACTCATATGATTATGGGAAAATTCTTCTTCTACTAGTCCCTCATCACAGTAAACCAAATTGGGTGAATACATTTCATACTACTGATTTACTGGTAGTCACGAAAACAATACTTAATTCGATGGATACAAAGGAGACTGGTAGTTGAATTGTCCCAAAATCTGGTGAGTAGACATGACTTTTTCATTAAATTTCATATGATCTTGTATTCTCAAAAGTCATTCTCGTCCAAGCAGGAGTGGATTGCAGTTTCGACCTCGCCTTAACCCACAGTGGGACTCGAAACATGTCAATGCACACTATTATCTCGACATCACATTCTGAAGCAAAGTTGTATTCTGCGTTACTCTATGTTTCGTTTATATGTCGGCTTTTGAGACCACCAGTAAATCATATCTGTGAGATGGTATGAAATATAAAGTATGGCAAAATGCCTGGCTCTGCGTAGTCGTTAACGTGCCATTGTTCGAGTCCCGCTGGGGGTGTCTAACTTGTACTTTGTTCGAAAATGGATGAGAATATAAATAAATAAACGCCCATTTGTTCTGCTGTTCTGCTTGTGAGTGTGTTTGTATGTGCGATCGTATGTCCCTTTATTTATCGAGCCTTGTCGGCTCGTTTGACCGTCTGTTTGCACATCCGCCTCTGGTCCTGTTCCACCCACAATCTGCCCATCACTCCATCATACCATGGCTACGTTAGTCCATTTGCCCAAAGTGAAATCTGTTTGTCTTTACGTCTGTTGGCGTGTTTTAGTCCAGTCGTGTGCATTCATGTCAGATGTGGGCATTCTCTTGTCGCTTGTCCGCTTGCCGGCATGTCTCTTCTGACGGTCGTTTGGTTTGAAGTCGAGTCCGCCAGCAAAGAATGCACAAAAATCAAGTTCTCGCATCTGCTTCCTCGGCCTCGGCCCAACGCTCTGATTAACACCGTTTTTTACTTGTTACTCCCACCCCCACCCCCACCCTTACCTTCACTCTAACCCCATCATCACCACACCCCGTCCAGCCCAAACCAGGCCACAGCCTCCTGCAGACCAACTGCTGTAGGCACTAAATCTTCCCTACACCCCTCGCCATTCCAGACTTCACTCATATCGGCCGCAATGCTGGCGTGTTTCTGAGGCCGCCACGACCGAGGGTAGCAACCGTGACACCGCCACGACAGGTACAACATACCTGTTGACAAGGTCCCGGTGGAAAATGACCACTTGTTGGTCGGCTGGTCGGCTGGTCGGCTGGTCGGTCTGTATGATGGCAAAGTGGGCCAGTCGTATTGGTTTGTTGGTTCAGCCTCATCCCAAATGGGCCGAATGGGCCGAATGGGCCACGGGTCTCTTAAATGGCAGATGAGATTGTCTTTTGAGTTTGCACATGTGCAATGGTACCGATGTACACAGACACAAGGGTGCAGGTGTTTGTGAGTGTTGGTACAACTTTGTGCTGGCCAGACGGGAGGGCTGTGTGTATGTGTGTGTGTGTGTGTGTGTGTGTGTGTGTGGGAGGGGGTGGGGTGAGGCTCCTGGGACCCTGGGTTGGGTCATTGGGCACCAGGTCAGCTGGGA